GTTTTTTTGCTATGAATTTCTGTTGTTGTTTTTTGAATTGTTTGTAGTTTAGTTTATTTGGTTGATATATGCACAATGCCTATATTGTGCAATTCGTAGATGTTTTTTTAAGTTTAAACAGAATGCTGTGTACATGGTATTCTTTGAAATTTATTGTTATGTTAATTTATTGAAGCGAGGTGTGTGTAGTTTGTAGATTCCTTCACTGCTTAGAATTTTCAATTCCTAGATTTTTTTTAAGTTAAAACGTATCGCTGTGTACATGGATTCTTGTCAAATACTTTTGGTTAGAAACTTAACGTTTTTGCTATCTAAATTTTTTGCTTTTGTTTCGGATTTTTAGCTTAATTTGTGTCTTTAAAACAAGGTTTTTGCAGACTTTTTAGGCTTAATTCAAAATGTAGACAAAAAAAATTTAGGTAGTAACATGGCGACGGGGAGTTTCTCGCCAAAAATGTTTGGCAAGAAATTTGATTACCTGAGGGCGCATGTAAGAGTAGTTAAGGCTCATGTCATTTCAGAAAAAGTCCAATTTTGTCCAAACATTCACATGCTTGAACAATACTGTATATAAATATAATATATATTGCAAGTCATGCTTTCAAAGCATGTAAACTACAAGTTGAATTTCATGAGTAAAAGGGGAGATATAGAACTGTCCCATTTTTACTTTTTTAATTGTTGTACAGTGGTATTAGGATGAGCTTTCTTAAATTCTCTTGAAGAGCACAACATGTATGTACAATTTCAACGTCCACTGAAAAAAGTTAGAAGTACATGAATCTGAAACTGAATTGTAAAATCTTCCAATCTTCAGATTATAAAAATAACAATAAAAGCTTTTACTTAATATTGAAAGTTTTTTAATGAAGCAAAATTTTTAATTTGTGCATTATGAAAAACAAAGAATATAGTTTTAAAAACTACACATATTACTATTAAAAAGCTGTAAATCTAATTTAATGAATTGAAGTGCATATTAAATTCTTGATGATTACTTGAAAATTTTAGCTGATTTTGCTACATGCTATATAGAGACAATCTGGCATCCAAAGCTATTATTAGATACCAGAGATTTATATACTGCAAAAATTGCTACATTCATGTTCTGTTATTGATACTTTTACAGAATATCAGTGAAACTAAATCTTTCCAAAGTTTTGAATTAAAACTCTTAATAGATAGTTTAGCATTCAGAACATATTATCATTTATTTTGAATGCTAAACATTCAAACTTGGGAAATGTCCCACCTTTTGAAAAAAACCAAAATTAGCTGATAATTGAATTCACATCTAATGAATTAATTCAATTATTTAAGGCTTGTTTTAAAATAAATATATTTTATCTAGATGTTAAATGTATGGGGGGACCTAAATTATTAATTTTAATGCAAAAACCTGTAAAAGTTGATAGTTTATTTTAAAACAAAGTTACGCTTCCTGGAAAACCAAAAAAAGTCAGGGAGTTTAAATCATTTAGTTAAAATCTGGGAGAGTCAGGGAATTTCATATGGCGATTCCAAAGAAAGCGGTTTTTGAACCAGTCTTGGAAGTGATCACTTTCTTAGAAAATTATGTAATGCTTAAGCATCATTCTGGCAATTGGCGTAGAGCCAATTTTCGCAGCTCGAATCAGATTGTCTTTTAGAAAGGCAAAGCAAGTTTTCAGCAACTTTAGTTTCCAGTAACCTTGAAAAACGAGAGACTTGCATGCACATGTGCAGTGCATGTTGAATGAAAGAAAATACCTTTTCATTCTCGTGTATAAAATAAAATCAGTTTAATTCTAGTATACGATGTACACAGGATTTGGTGACATGATGATGAGCAGTAAACGGATCATTTTGGTGGAGATAATTTTGAGAATCCTGTTAAGGCTGTACTATATACTGGTATTTTGTCACAAAATCTTTCAAATCTTGTTTTCATTTCAGTAAGGGCCCATTTAATATAACTATATTCTCCAAAGTATCATTGATAATTGTAATTCAGTTTTTAATCTTTAAGTAATTGACTTTATTTTAATGTTTTTCATATAATTTAATGTGGCTTTCTTCCTTCTAAATTTATTTATTATTAGTTAATAATACTTTCAAATTTCAGGCATTTTCAAGCAAACTTCTTTGTCATACTAATTCTAGCAGTATCATGACATATCACGAAATTTAATGCACATATTTTTCACTTATGTAGGCTGCTAAATAAATACAAAACACCTAAATTTAATTTAAAATATCGTTAAATAGATTTCTTTCTTTCATTTAGCTGCAAAAAAAAAGACATTTTTTAATCCAGATTGGGTAGATTCTAATCTGGGTCTTCAGTAGAGAAAACAACTCCTATTTTAGTTATAATAATGCTGCTTTGGGGATATGTATAGGTCATATGTAATTAGCAAATTTTTGTTTTCAAGTGGTAGCGTAATTAATGTACATCTCAGCACTGCGGAGGCACTTCACAGATAGACTGGAATTTTCCTAAAGCACACCTGGAAAAGTCAAGGAATTTCATTCTCCTGTTTGAGTGGCAACGCTGTTAAAGGAATTTTGCCATCTTGAATAGACTTTTTTTTGTTGCGCATGCTGTCCTGTATTTTATTTTTTGGAGAGGAGTATATATGAATTAAAAATAAGTGGATATATGTTTTCCAAATTAATGCATTATTCTTCCTATTAAATAAATTTTGTATCAACTCGTAAAGCTTATTTCAATTTACTTCTCCTAGAAAATAGTCTATAATTTTATCAAAAATGAAAGAAAGAAAAACTGGAAACCTGAAAACTGTGTTAGTATTTCTGAATGAAAAATAAGTATTTGGTTGTGTCATCTAATAATTTAAAATTTGTGTCTCTTAATATGTTTTCCTGATTACAGAGCAGGAGAAAAAAATATTTTTTTGCATTTATATATTCTCAGGTTAATTATCTAAAAATGTGAGATTCTCATTAATTCACTTCAAACATTTCTTTCCATTTAAAACCTGTTTCACCACTTTTAAGAAGCTGTAAATATGGAATTATAGTTTTCTAACTTTCCAAAATTCAGACGTGCTGCTCATACTACATGAAGATTGACCACCCTTGTTGTAGCACATTCAAATAAGTTCTAAACCACAAAGAACCATGCAAAAAGCATTCCGTAACAATATATGGGCATTTGAGCATTCTTTGTGCTCAATATGTTATCAAGCATAACATTTTGTATATTATCTAAAATATTAAAACTGAACTTCTTCAAAATGATACCAAACTATGCACTCATCTGCATAAACTATAGCAGGCTAAAAGGCAGATATTTATATGGCAGCAAGTTGTTGAGCTACACAACTATTATAACAGATTTGTTCTGCTTAAATAAGGTATGTAAAGTCTCAATGTATCAGTGGAGGTAAATGAGCTGCCAGAATATAGTAGCTGATTACTTAGTTTCTTTGTTTCTTATCATATGTACTTCAGAGATAATTTTTTTAATCATTTTGCCTGCGCAATGATGCCATCTCAGTGGGCTACCACTTTTCAACATTACGCAAGCTCAGCAAAGAGATAAAATAAAAATAGTGCAGAATTTGAAAAAAAGAAAATTAATTCTGTTATATGTAGTGCATGATACCTGAGCTGTGTATCTACTATGAAAAAGAGCAACAAAAGCAGCTGTTTCAATAAAAGCTCCAATTCTAATGATTTTATTCCATCAAAAAGCTGAAAGAAGTCCATATTACAGAAGGCAAGTATTCATTTCAGGCTTATTTGAACATTTTCAGCAGTGAATGATTCGTTCAAGACTTAAATAAACGAAAATAAGATTGTTAGATTGAGATGCTTTAAGTAACTTAAAAACTTTAGAATTTTATTCAAAACTTATACACTTTGAATGTGTATATTATTGAGGTTTGATTAAAAAGTTCTGGAACTGAATTTTTATTTTAATGTAAAAAACTTTATATGGCCATGCCCTTTAATTCTTGTTATTTATTAAAATGTGATCTTTTTACGGTGATGCAGTGTTGACATGTTTGTTTTTTTCCCCCCCACTTGCAACTATCAAAACTGCCTGATAAGTGCTTTTTGGGACAGCTAAAAGTGTTTCTTAGTTTTTCAATAATTTCTTCTCTAGTTTGAAATTTTTGATGTTAAAATGTTTCTTTAACTGTGATGCAAAAGAAAAAAGACTATTGAATGCATGTCTGGTGAATATAGGAATTGTGAAACAGTTGCTAGTTCATAACGAGCCAAAAATTGCTGTGAGAAGAGCTATATGTGGCTGTGCATTATCATAGTGAAGTGTCCATTGCTGTTTTTTCAGCATTTTAGAGTGACTTTTAATTTAATTATTGCTTTCAAAGTTGTTCTTCAATTTTCTTGGACAAAAGCAGAAACTTCTTGTTAGCTTTAGTACTGTTGTTGGAGCTATTCTTTATAGATGTCATTATGTCTCTATAGATGTACATGTGTCATTGCTGAAGTTCAACATGTTTTAAAATGTTTATGCGACTCTAATTTTTGATCATGTCATAGAGTTATTTCCCAAAGCTTTATTAATCTAGTCATAAGTTTCTTTTTTAAAAAAGATTTTATACAGAGTTTCATACAAATTTGTTGTTCATTCAAATTGTGCATTTGTTTGTTGGCAAAAATCGCAAATGAAAAAATTTCTTTTTTTCAAAAAGGATTGTAGCAATATGGTGCGCCATATAGTAGTGCATTATTCTTTTTATTTTTATAGAACCATTAAAATAAACTGATATAATTTGAATTGCAGATGTGTCACAAAAACTGTTCAGTTTTGAAAAACTATATTCTGTAGTTGTGTGAAATGTTTTAATGTTCATAAAATTAAATAAATTTATTTCAAAGCTGAATAATAATCCGTTGGAAAAATTTACAAAATCTGAGTGCATGTTAAAATTGTATTGTATAAAGAAATGAAAAATTATGATTTTTAAACATATGTACTTCCTTTTCCAGTTTGCAACCTTGTTAAATTAAAATAACTTTTACAGGATAGCAGGAAAAAATTATTTCAAAGATGAAATTGTAATCAGAAATTCAGACTCAGGGAAAGGTAACTGATATATTAATAAATATAAATGTATATGATGTGTAATTGCAAAACCTTTTTTAATAATTTAGTTAGATTATATCATTAATATGTTAGAAAATTGGTTTTTATTGACCAATATTTTACCCTTTAAGTCTTTTATTTTTAAAAAATAAAAAAAGAGCTTATACTTGTTTAAAAGATAATTAGTTTTTACTTTCTTGTATATTAAGTGCTACTGTTTTTTTAAGTGATGGGTATCAAAGGACGACGTGTTCACATGATTGAAGAATTGAGCGACACAGTAATATCATTTCAACGAGGTGATGTATGCATTTATGCGTGTTCTGCATGCACAAATGCTTCCTAGAAAACTAAAACCTACTAGATTTAATTGGCATGGATCTAGATGCTTCATAACCTGAATACTAAAAGTATATGCATAGTTGTTTTTCATATGCATATGATTTTAGAACAAAATGGATGTAAATTCAGATTTACTTTACTTCTGTATTTATTACTGCTAGGAAAATATCTGGATTTTTAATATATTGCTTACTGTACATTAATTGTAAATATATTACAAATTATATTTTTAACCATATTTTTTAACCTTTAAAAAAATTTTCAAATACCAGTTATTCTAATGTTTCTTAGCTTCTAATTTTATTACTGTCAAAAGAATATTAAACACATATTTTTAATCAGTTCTTCAATGTTAAAATGTTTGTTAATGCACTTCCCAAAAAAGGAATGCATTAATGTAGATAAATCTCTATATTGAATCAAAGACTTGGTAGTGATGATTTCTAGTTAGCTCAAGTTTTTTTTTTTTTTTTTTTTACTTTTCTAAAATCTAATGATAATACATTAATTATAGAATAATTGTTACAAATTATAACCTTAATAGTTCAATTGGGGGGAAGCAAATCTTGACAACAATTTTGTGTTTATGAAAATCTAATACAAATTCCTTACTAATCTATTGAAACATTATTTGCAAATAAAAGTTTTATGTTCTGTGCACTTTGATACAGTTTTATTAATTAGAAACTTGCATACATTTTAATTGCTATATGACTTTTCTTTCTTTCAATTGTAATTCACAAAATGTAAGCTTTGTATCATGCAGTAGATAATTTAGCACAAATTACATACTTTTTGCTAATTACTTTTTATTCTTAGAATCAAAGCAATGCAGTTATATTAGGTTTTAGGTTATGTGGATGAAGCAAAACACATAAGGCTATTTGCCTAAGAGAGGATGCCTTCATTACGAGCTTTCTAAAGAAAATTGTGTCATGTTTATATTACTTGTGGGAAGTACCATCCAAGCAGGTTGCCATGCAGATTGCATCCATGCCTCTTTGCCTAGATTCAAATCCAAGTCAAACTAGAACTCAGCAGCCTTAATTTATTCGGCTGCTGGCAGTCTTAAAATGATGCAATAATGTCTGTACAAATATTGAGTACTTTTTTAATAGATAAAATGTAAACCCAAAATCTGACTGTAGTGTTATGAAATAAATGTAGGAAACCGGTGTATAAGACGTACTTTTTACTTCCTTGTATGAAGTAAAAAGGAAGCATTGTAATCGCGAAAAGTTTCAGGCAGCATATTTCAACGAAAATATCCATTTTCACTGCTAACGAATGCAATTTAACGTTTTTGCATGACAATTGTACGTAAGGACTAAAAGACTTTTTCCCCACAAAAATTGTAAAACTAATTTTAAATGAATTCTGAAGAGAATTTCTCGTGGTGTTGTATGAACGTATGTACGTACATATCTCGCAACTCAAAAACCGAGTAGCCCTCAGAATTTTGAAATTTTGATATAGGACTGCTATAACAGTAGATGTGCACCTCATTTGGTTCAATCGGCCGCACCAAAGTAATAAATATATTTATATATATATAATAATCACTCTGTAAATTGGTCAGTGATCTCAGTTTCTTTACTCTTATATGTTGTAATTGTACATTTTTGTTAAAAATGATTAATTATGTTGTTTTTATCTTCCAATTAAGGTTGTTAGCCTTTAGTAAATCTGTATGCAATATTTTTAGAATTTTCAACAATTTTAAAGTTGTTTAAGTGTGCTAAGCCTTTTTTTTATGGCGGCCATTGATTGTTTAAATTTGAAAGCGCTGGGGATTTGTTGCCGTCTAGAGAAACTAGCTCCCAACAGCAAAGAAACGCATTCATTATTATTGCCAATTAAATCATGCTTAATCCTTTCTGGAATTTTCGAGGAAATAATTTTAAGATTTATTTCGTAATTTTTAATATAGATATTTTGATTTTTATGTATTTTTGCCTTCTCGAGAGGAGAACTGAATTAATGGAATGAGAATATCCAATCGCTGTGAAAATGTTCTTTTTTGTTTTATTTGCTTAATTCTTTATACATCATTCTAGCTTATTATAGTATTTGAGTAGAACAGTAGCAACGATTAGATAATTCTATCTTTAATGATATAAATTTTGTGCATTATGAGTTATAATATGAACGAAATATAATACGTTAAGTGAATCTGCACAAGTGTCGCTATGGTAACAATACTAGAGGAATTTAAGGCATTTATTCTATGGGGTTTATGCTGTCGCGAAGTAGATTAATTCGATCCAATAAGTTAAATGAAATGCAAGAAAAGTGCGTATAATTTAATATTCCGTACAAGGAAGTGATGTGGTGTACACATCAGATTTTTTTCTTTGAAAATAGGTCTGAGAAACAGGGTGTGTATTATTTGTTGACACTCAGTTTTTGAGTACATTAATTTCTGGAAATCTCCTCTATTCAATTTTTTTTTTTTTTTTTTCTTATTTCCTTGTGAAATGTGGGAATATCAGTTACGAAGAGTTAAATGAATGCACATGCGCTGTCATCCATGATCACCACTTGGTTCCTTTAAACTTTCTAGTTTTTGTGAGTGACATTAAAGTATGTGAAATTTCTACTGTTCAAATTTCTTAAATTTATTGGCAAGTTATGACTCAAAAACAACTTCAGAATTGCTATAATATAGCATACAAGCTATGTGTGATTGCGTATACTAAAGAAAATGGAAACAGAGCTGCATAGAGGCATTTTGGGTCACCCCCAACTAAAAAAATGATAAGAATTTGGTGGAATCAGGAAAAGGATCTAAGAAAAAAAAGCTACTCACAGTAAACATAACCTACAAATTTCACAATGGCCTAAGCTTGAGGCAGAGCCGAATACTTGGATTTTAGACCACAGAAAAGTGGGACTTTGTCTCTACAAAAATGATAATTCATCAAGCAAAAACGATTAAAAGGTGTTCTTTCCCAGATAGATTGTTTATTTGCAGAAGACATTACTTTGTATTTAAAATACTGTAAATTCATTAATAAAGTTAATTTTAATGTTTTTTATTTACTATTTTATGATGCAGAAAATATTCCATGTTTATATGCTATTAATCTATGTCTTATCTTACCCTGGAAACTTCAATAAATGTTATTAAATGTCTGTTTTTTTTTTTTTTTTTTTTTTTTTTTGTGGGGGTGTGTGTGTGTAGTTATGTCTTAACTTATCTAAACATGTGATGACAGGTTTAATTCTCCAAGTTCCAGTTCTTTCCTGTATTACTAATCAATAATTGTCATACATTATTAATTCCCGTTTTCTTTAGACATGGTCCTGTGCTATACCAAAAGTGATAGTATAACTGCAGTACAGGCATTTAGCTGACTATTCTTAAAAATTATTTCCAGTAGCTTAGTACTTATTTAAAATATTTCATAAAAAAATTAATAGTTAATTTATTGAAAACCTTGCATAAAATTTATCATATTTTTTACAGGTGCTGAATATTTATAAAAGAAGGGAATTGCATAATTTTTTCAAAAGAATTGAATAACATATATTTTATGCATATATTCAAATTAATATTCAAGGTATAAAATGATTTTAATTAAACAAAAATCAGTTGAAAGTCATTTGTAATAATTTTGTGCTAATATTTTTAAAATAGTGAATCCTGGAGCTCGTGATAGGCTTGTACAGATCACTGGTCCTCATGAAGAAGCTATTGGGTTAGTAAATACTAGTTGAAGCAAATGAAAATGCAGTTTATGTTGGATTGAATTATAGTAATGTTTTTACTTCTCTAAATCTGCATATTCTGGTTTTAAGCTGTCTGTTTTATAAGGTAAAATGCAGTAAAAGATACCTGTGCTCTTTTCTCCCTATATATATATATATGTGTGTGTGTGTAATTGTTTATAAAATAATTGATATGGAATTTAATTTCTTTATATATGTTAATGTTTTAAAAAACATGCTAAAAATTTGACAGATAAAGAGTTATTTTCATCATATGTCTTCTTTCATTTGCTAACTCTGAGCGTCGTTGCTATAAGTCTTAAAATAGTTTAAATGAAAGTAAACAAACAAAGTTATGTGTTCATTTGATATATATATATATATTCTTCCATGAAACAAATTAAAAACTCCATCTGAAGTATTGCACTCGTATCATCTTTCATTCTTGCATATATGAATATTACATAAATATTTTTATTAGTGTGCCATGATGTGAAGATCATATTTTGTAATTTAATTTGAAGACATATACCACCATACTTCTCGTTTTCAAAATTTATATACAGGATGATTCAGAGCTTATGGGATGAAATTTGAAGAGTGGTAGTGCATACTATGATTAACATTTTTTTTTTCGTTTGTTTGTTTTGTTTTTGTAGGATTGTATAGGTGCAAAGGAACAAATATAAGCAATTAGACATAAAAAGAAACATAAATTGTTTATGTACAGCATCAATACTAATGGTTCTTTACAGCGTTGTTTACAGTAATTACTCAGAATTATATCCACCAATAGTAATTTATGCTTAGCAGCAGCATTAGTGGAGTGATTGACATATGATTATAAAGATGTCATGTATTTCTTGCCACCCACATGCAGCCACAGCAGATATTTGAGTTACAAGGTCCTTAACAACATCAACTGTATGGAGGACCTTCAGATGCTCCTATACAAAGTAATCAAGGCTTGATAAATCAGGTGATTGTAGGTGGCCAGCAGATTGTTCCTCTACAGCTGGGAACAGCATCATTCCCCATCGTATCCCAAAAATGCTATCCAGGTAATAGCAGACATTAATATTGAAATTGGCTGGTACCTCATCATGTTGAAGTTGCAGTCAGTTATAAATGCCAGTGAAAACATCTTGAAACAACTCGGGTAAAATCTTTACTCCCCCAAAAAATGTATGATAGCATCTGCCTTTGAGCCAGTTGATAGTAGATATGAACCAGTAGGAAATTGTTAAAATACCAGCACACAGATTTGCAAATAATCATTTTTGGAGCATATATATATGAATTGTGACATTAGGTATCATGTTGGTTTGAGATTTCTACGCATTACAAGTGCAATCTGTAGTGCACTGTACTGTTAAAACTACTGGTAGAGTTCAGTGCCATCTTTCATTTTCACAGTTTAAGTTATCTGAAAATGGAACTGATGTAATCAATCTTTGTTTAACACTCTATGTGACTTTTGTACTTATGTCAGATTTATTTCCCACAGGATTCAAGATGAGTTATCCCTGTCTGGATGAACAGTTTGTTTTATTTCATGTATTATATTTTGTATTTGTGCCTCAGCATGTTGCTTGTGTCTGTACCTTCCTATACAAAAGGTATTTATTGTATTGTTACCTGCCAGCTTGAGATTTGTCCCAAGAATTTTAAATCATCCTGTCATGTGTATTGGATAAACTGAATAGGAGGCTTTCAAAAATAAGCAAACTGAAAGTGGGCTACTTATAGTTTTTATTCTTCATTTTTTTATTTAGTTTTTGAATTTTTTGTGGGTGCATTGGGGGAATGTGTTATGAAAATAATTCAAATAATTAATATTTATTCTGTTAGTTACAGGAAGATTTTTCAAGAAACTGTTTTGTAGCATCATTCTGTTATCTTTATGTGTTAATGCTGACTTTGATTAATATGTTTTATAGAATGCAAATATTAAATATATGGTTAAGAAATGCAAAATTTCAATTGATTTTACAACAGTAAAATATTGTGATTTATTAGAAGAATTTACTGTTTTGTTACAGAAATGAAGAGCTTGTCTTCTTGTATAAATGTGTGATAACTTGATAAGCAAATATATTTTGTATAATTGGTTGTATCAAAATTCAAATTCTTTGGGAAACAATAAAACTGAATTTTGTATTAAAAATTTGAAAACTTGTGAAGTAGAATGCAAGAAAGTTCTTTGCTAAGTGTTCGAAAAGACTTGTTATTTATCTTTCACTTAAACAGCAAAGTAATGCATTGCAAAAGTTTCAAAGGACAGTCATAAATTACTCAGAAGTTGTAGAAAATTATTTTTATTAAATTACAAAATCAGTATAAATATATAATAAACATTTGCAGTTCAGGTGAAATAAGTTGGGAGATATTTGTAAAGTATTCCAAATGGCTATTCAAAAATGTCCTGTTGAGGTAAACCCAAGTGTGCACACTGTTCTGTGGAGGACCATAGCACTGATAATTGCAACCTTATGCCTTTGTGTGTCATTTGTAAGGGGTATCACAGCATTTTTTCATTTGTGTCTTGAATAGAAAGCTGAGACGAAAGTGCAGTCCCTAAAATTGACTAAAAACTGTTGATAGAACTGCTGTCAGAGCCCTTTGTTATTATCGGGGAATTTAATGGACATAGTCTGCTTTGGGGAAGTGGTGATAAAAATTCTCAAGGTAGACAAATTGAGCAAATGATCGAAGATTATTGCCATTATCTCCTCAATAATGGGCAGATGCATACATACTTCCACAAGCATACAATTGCATTCCATGGTTTTTT